TATATATATATATATATATATATATATATATATATATATATATATATATATATATATATATAATACAAGAATCAATTTACAGAAAACATACTTGTATGATGATTATGTAATCACGAAATTATACAGATTGAGGCCTGCTATGCAGTGTCCTAAGAGGATACAACAAGCAATCCAAGAAGTGATCTTGAATCTGACGAAATTTCTATGTTCCATTCATCTTCAGGAAGAAGGAAGCCCAATATGCTTAACCAATTATTTGACCCATTTAATTAAATGAGTGAGACAAGACATATAAGGTGGGAGAAGGTTTTCTCTTCCACCAATGTGGGATAAGTCCCACATTGTAAAGCAAAGTTCCAACATAATATTTATATATTAAAATATAAAGTTAGCGGTTCGGTTAATAATGGTTCGGCTAATCTATAAAACCATAACCGAACCGTTAGTTATCGGTTAACAAAAATTAGAAACCGAACCACCGGTTTTTAAAATGGTTCGGTTATATCGGTTAATTTGGTTTTGGTTCGGTTTTTCGGTTATTATGCTCACCCCTAGTCACGAACATTAACTTATCCAAATATATGTATAGTATACTATATGTTTTTTTTTCGAAAGAGAAATCCATATACACTATATCTTAATAACCAATTACCTTGTCTTACACCATCTATCTACTAGATTCCGCACAACTAATAGATTCGTGATATCGAGTCTTATAATTAAGATAAAATAACAATATATTTCAATGTTGTTTTACTTGTCTTAACTCCTAAGACTAATCGAGCTCGGAACAAATAATGAATAACAAATAATGAGTGACAATACAATCTCTTATGTTCAAAGCAACGGACATTAAAATAAAACACAAAGATCCAACCATTACCCTAAAGCTTAACGATATCTATCATTTAGCAAACTGAATCCAAATCCATCATTACACATACTTTTAAAAAAAAAAAAGACAAAAAAAACCCAAAAAACTAAAACAAATTTTTTTCAAGAAAAATAAAGGAGGATACTCATGATTTAAAAGATACGAAATCATCAAATTAAATACATAATTTTCAAAACCATTTTAATGTAATATATTCGAAAGTTTCCTATTAAAGCTTTGATCTTTGAATATTTGAGAAAAGAATTGTTGCTTGTTGGTTGAAAACATGTGGTCAAACAAGAATCTTCATTTAGATCGCATTGCCATATTGGATGAGACTCACTTTCCAAACCAAAAGGTATGGACCGTTTCATCACTTTGCACAAATGCCTTTAAAAGACCATTTTTGCCATATTTGTTTCATCTTTTTATGAAAGTAGAAGGCTAAAACCCAACCAAAAAAGAAAATTTGAAAACGATTTATATTTAGTTTTTTTGGAACAATTTATTTTTTAAAATATTGCATTATACAATCATATAAATCAGAAAAAGAAATTATTGTATATGGAAAAAAATATTATGTAGGAATCAATTCCTACTTTTAAAATATTTTGTGTTTTTTTGCACATGGTGAGAAGATTATTATTATCTTTTTTTAAAGTAATGTGGTAAGAAAATAATTTGATAATTCGACTCCTCATGAATGTTTGTTTGGAATGAGATTAAAATTTGGGTGATGTGATTTTTTTTATTTAATCAAATAAGTATTAAACTTATAAATATAAAGAGTTTATTATTGATTTTAGAATTTGGTTCTTTTTTTTTTTTCTGTATTATACCAAAAAAATGGCAAAACGTCACCATCAAAACTCTCTTCAGAATTCAGATAAAGACATTTAAAACATTTGACAAACGTCAATTTAATCCACACTCGATAAATTCAATCATTTAATGCATCAAGTGCGCATGCAACATACTGAAAATAGCACCACCGTTGACCTTTGACCGGTCAACGGTTCCCAATCAAAATCCAACCACAAACTAACTTCAAACGTTTGACCTTTCAATTCATGAACACATGCAATTCCCATGTCCCACTCTTTGCCCACAAAAACATAATAAAAAACAAACCCTCCATTCAGACACACAAATAGCCATATGAAAAAACAATTCAAATCGCATTAAAAAGTCAACAAAACTAAAATCTTAATATATACAAAACCATTTCTTGCTTCCATCAAATGGGCTCAGGGTCTAACAACTAGGGGTCTGTTTGGTTCGATGGAATGGAATGCACAAGGTAAAAGAACAAAACATTACCATTACCATTACCATTTCCATTCCATTCCATTCTCATGTCTGGTTGCTCTGTTGGAATGGAATGAGTGATTAACGTGTGAATTGGACTATTGGAGTATTGGTACCTCACGAGTAAGATCTAACGAGCCCAAAATTGCAAAAGGATTTGGTCTTAAAAAGGCCACGAAAAAGGAACCTATTAGGACATTCTTGTTGACCTTGGTTTAATTCTTGAGGGGTACTTTTGACTTTTAGAATTGTTTGCCCGATTTCTTTTCTAATAGAGTCAATAATCTTAGGGTCAACGGGGTACCCGGAAGCATCACCAACATAAAATGTATTCATGGCTTTTCCTGCCCGAGTTGTCACCTCTGCCCGCATCACCGTGAGACTATTCTCACGAAATATACGAGTCACATCGGATAATAGCCCAATTCTATCGGTTGTACATAGTTCTAGCTTCAATCCCTGAATAAAAAAAAATATATATAAATCAAATATAATTTCACATGTTTTTATGAATACTCCATGATCTTAAATTATCAACAAACTTTGGACTTTTAAAACTTGTACTTTGTGTTAAAATATTTGGATTAGTCTACATCATGTTGACTGTTTATGAAAGAATCAAGTTTCACACAAGAACAAGAAGATACAAAAACATAATCAGACAAAACAAAGCATATTATTTGATGATTCAGGACCACAATTAGTATAACAACAAAAATTTCTGAAAAATAATGAAACAATTTAGAATCTTAAAAGGAAGGATTCTTTCATAACTAAAGATCCAAACCAAGACATGTAAAAAATAATCAAAATTTTTGTCTTGAAACTAGTACAAAAAATCGAATACAACAAACAATTTAGAATCTTGAAACTTTAAAAGTGTCCCCTTGGATCTTTCTGATATTTAAATCAATTCCTTTTTTAACTTTCATTAACTACTCATTATTTTTTTTAAAATATGATATTTGACTTGTGTTTACCTCAGAAACTCTTCTTTCAATGGCAGCTTCAAGACATTGAATCACCCTTTGCCTCTCTGCATCCGAATTCACAGGAAACCCATCGATATGTCGAATGCAATATTCCTTCAAATCACAAAAAAAAAAAACGTTACAATCATCAACAAAATGTATAAACTTTAAAAAAGAAAAAAAAAATTTAGAAACCTGATAAGCTTCGGGCCCTTCAGCATCAACATTTCCATGAAAAACCACATACTCCATATCAGTCAAAGTACAAATCGTATCAAACAAAAGCTTTGGTCTATCTTTACACCTTATTGTCACAACCGAATAATCTTTATCATACCAATTAACAACTTTCACATCGGGCCTTTCTTTCTCACTACAACATTCATCTTTCCTCTCATAATCTCTATCTGCAAACATCATTTGATGAAGGCGTCTTTCGGTATGTGTAACACCATGAGAGACCACAGTTTTAGCTTCATTAGCTTTGTTGCTACCTTTAAGTACATTGCATAACATTTTCTTTATAATGGAAAGCTTTTTGGGATCCGTAATGGCTAAACCGGATTCTTCATCGGTTACTTGAAGTACAGATGCAGCCCGTGTGTTGTGGGTCCACACCTCACCATTTAATACATTACACTTTAAGTGTGTGAGAACTGCACATAGTTCTGAGAGTAGGCCCGGCCTATCACTTCCTATTAATTCGATTACTGTGTGATCCGTTGAGGTTGTTACCCCAACGGATCTCATTGATGTTGTAAAACTAGTTTCCGAACCAAGAGCCTGAAAAAAAAATCAAGAAATCAGATTGTTTTTTCAGCAACCCCTGAGCTGGCCAACACAGTGGGCCCACTGGCTGTCTAATCCACATTGGAATTGAAACTCTGAACGATGAGACTTGGATTTTTTTTTATATGTAAAACAAGTTCACGAATAAAAGGTGTAAAGAAAAAGGAAGATTACCTTTTGAATGTAATCCAAAATTTCTTCATTGGTGATTTTGTTCCCTTCATGATCGGTGACATTGAAGACTATTATTTAAGAAATAAGAATGTTATAAAAAGTGGTATGAAACTAGAAAAATGGAGTTATATTTAATTATTTATAGTTTTATACCATCCATGAACCACCCTCCATCGGAACTTATGTAAGCTTTGGTGATGATAAAGTTAAGATCAGTGAGAACTTGTACGACTTCCAAAAGGATCCCATGTTTGTTAGCGCTATCAACCTGGTATAGAAAATAGATTACATTAAATGGTTGATTAATAATAATAATGATAATCAAAAGGTGTGGAGTGGAGATTAGAGATTATTAAGGTGAAAAGTATACCTGAATAATGGTGGCATTTTTACAGGAATCGTTGTCGATTACAACTCTGGGTGGATTCATTCTTCGAATAAATTTCTCGTATTCATCTTCCATGTTTCCAGAAAAGCTCATACTACAGGTCTCTGAGGCAATACGTCGAACGGGTTAGATGCGATTACAAACCACGAAAGAAGAATCTATAAAGAAAGAGAGAGAAAGACTGTGAAACAAGATTTATTACAAAATACTAAAGAAGGAATGTGTCTGTATATAAAAGGAAGAAAGAGTGTGTAGTAAGTAAATAAGAATGTGTGAGAAGAAAAGGAAAGAAAGGGGGCCAAAAAGAATAATGATTTATGATGAAGATTTGAGAACGAATTAAAAACACCAGATATCAAGAAGGCCAATAGAGAAGCCTTAAACCACCAGAAAGAAAAAGGGTGTTTAAGTCTCTCTGTCCATGTGGGTATGGTGGGGTTCCTTTTGCTTCTCTGTGGAGCCATTTTTAGATACATAAGGAACAGAATCAAAGAATTGACGCACCAAACATTCAGAAAAGCTAATAATTTCAAGTCGATACAACAACCCAATTACGTAACAACCCTGATGACCCCATTGATTATCTCAACCGAAATAAAAAGATGCACAGGAAACAACAATAAATCACAAAATAACGCCTTGAAATTTTTGAGAACCCGAGAAAAAACAGCATTGAAACAGATTGAGGAGGATAAAGAAAGAGAGAATACATACCCATCAAGAATTTGATATGTATTAACCAGGGTCGCTAGCACCTTCTTGATTCTATAAACAGAAACAGAATTCCAGAGGGAAGAACTTATAGAAAGAGAGCAAACACCGCAAAAGTATTTAGTTGAATACGTAGAATTTGTTTACCAATTACATATCTGTTTTCTTTCATCCATATATAGGAAGAAAACACACCCAGCAACGAACAGTCTTTTTCTTCGTTTCTATCTCCTTCTCCTGTGTATTTGCAGGCATATGATGGTGTAAAATGGGCTTGAAGTGTGTGTTTCTCTCTCTATCTATCACTCTCTCTAAAACGTTTCCTAATACAGTTTAGTCTTAAAAATTCAGGCCTTCGGTACTTAACAGGGGAGTTCCCAAAAATGGTGGTGGGTCGGGTAAGCACGCTTTAAGCAGGAGCAGGATCTTGGGCAGCAGCACATGTTAGCTGGATCTTGTGCATGTTAGATGCCTGAATGAGGGGTTTACTAACGGACGCCTGTGATGAAATTATTTGGTTTTTAGTTTTTACCCGGGCACGTGGTGGGGAAATGACTGTAATATCTCCAATGTTTGCGGAGAGAGAAAACAAGATCACATGAAAACGACTTGTAAGAAAAAAAAAACAAGTGAACATATTATAAGATATTTACAAAGAGAGAGGATTGCATAAAACATATTACGTTTTATTTTTTATTTGATTTCAAAGTTGTATTAATCTTTTTTTTTGCCACTAAATCTAATATTATATTTTTAATTTTATTCGAAATTAACCATTTTATAGGAACATTTTGATTATTTGGTTGGTTGTCACGTTTGTTGAAAAAATAATCTTGACGTGGTATAAAAATTACTACCTTATCATTTTTTTCGATTTTAACATTTCATTATTTTTTTTTAAAAGTCACTACATTATCAGTTTTGATTCTGATTTTGAACATTCTCATCCCAAAGAACGGATTAAATATCTTTCATATATAATAAGAGTACGTTTGGTTTGCATAATGTTTTTGGAAGGAATGAAATCTATCAAAAGAATTGAAATATGAAAGAATTGGAATCTGAATGAACAAGAAACTGCAATACATTTGGTTGACATGGAATGAAATCTGTTTTCTGTTTGGTTTGCTAATTTCAAAAATGAATTGGAAAATAATTTTGTAATATGACATAAATACCCTTAACAATTTTTTGCAACTAATTATATTTTTTAATAAACATGACGATGTTTTATTTAATTACAACATTTTTTTATTAAACTCTTCTACAAAATTTAAATTAAAAAAAACAAGTTTATCAAATAGAAATGTAGATGAAAGTAAAAAACTAAACAATTTGTCAACTTGATTTTTATGAAATTAGTGGTTACTAGTCATGGATTTTAAATAATTTAAGGACTTTTGTCATTTTCTACAAGAAAACTAACATAAGCGGTAAAAAGAGGAGACACAAAAAAACTCATATAAGCAAAAAAAATAAAATAAAATAAAATAAAAGAAGTAAAACATAGACAAAATTCACGTAGATGGTTTTACTTTTTTAATTTATCTCATAGATAATAGGAGGATAATGTGGAATTTAAAATAATGATTATGAACTGAATTTTCATTCTTGATGCACGGTGGAGGAATTAGAATTCTTTCAAATAAGGAATTAAATGATAATTATAGAAATCTAATTTCATTCCTTTGGTAATCCAAACACGGTCTCCAACAGATTTTAGTTTCTAATTTCTTCTAATTCTTTAAGAATTATGTGAAACAAACGCACCCTAAGAGATCAACAATAAGCCGAGAGTTATAGGGATATACATTGGAATATGCCAAAACATACAACATATATATATATATATATATATATATATATATATATATATATATATATATATATATATAT